CAAATTCTTAAACTGTTCCCTCGGTTTACCAATTCATGCCAACGGATTAATAAATCATACCCACGGGATCCTAATTCGTGCTCTCAGATTTGTAAACCGTGCCCTCAGTTTTTGCAATTTGTACCCACAAATTTATAAACCGTGCCCACACTTTCACAATCCGTACTCACAGGTTTGTGATCCGTACTCACGGATTTGTGGCTCGTCCCCCAGAGTGTGCCGCATGATTCAACCAGGCCTCCTGCATTGTTTTTAAAAGGACTTCACATAAAAATATATATATATAACACAAACACAAAGTTATAGGCCTATTAAAATAAAACATTCATAAATTGTTTTATGATTAACATATTCCTGTCTTAAGTGAACTCATTTAAAGTTATAAATGCAAATAATAGGCCTAATAATAATGGCTATTATTATTACATTTAGGCTACATATTTAGATATGAGACTCTTTTATCAAAAAAAGAAACAAAGCAATTTGTCAAATGTCAGGGCTAAACATAATGCAGGTTAGACAATAATAATACAGGGCTGAGATTATCAAAATAAACACAAGATTTTGACGCATATCCAAGTGTTTGTGCACAAAAAATAAATAACATTGACTTTTTGCCTTTCTTAAACATTTAAAATATTCGCAAATTAATATAAAAAAAAATAGATTTTACTTTCTAAAATCAAATTAGAACAAAAACTATATTTTGCCCACAGTGCTAAATGAGAAAAGCATGTCTCTGGAACCATACAGAGAGATGATTTATAGCTGATTTATGGGCTAATCATAATAAATGTATCTGAAAAATAACAGTGGATTTTTATTGTTTAAATAAACAGTTTTCTAGTGACGGGCTAAACATACAGTATCTCCATCTGTAAAGCGAATGCACCTTTAGAGAGAAATGCACCTTTCGGATTGTATAATGAGACGGTATTTGCTTTCGATTCGAATTTGTTTGTTTAAAAGTGGACATTCCAAGCTTTAGATTCATTTAGCTTTTGTCTCAGCTCACTTATGAGACGCGCTCCGGAGATCATGAAAGCGTACCTGATTGTTTTATTTTATTTTACAAATACACAACATTTTCTTGTTATTGTGAGTTTACACAAATAAAAGTAGCTGCAAATAATCTATTATTAGGGCCCGAGCACTAACAGTGCGAGGACCCTATTGAAACTGTTAGGGTTCTTTTTTTTTTTTTTAGGGCCCGAGCACTAACAGTGCGAGGACCCTATTGGAACTGTTAGGGTTATTTAAGGCCCAAGCCCTGAAAGGGCGAAGGCCCTATTGTTTTCCTTGGGGTTATTTTTAGGGCCCAAGCCCTGAAAGGGCGAAGGCCCTATTGTTTTCCTTAGGATTCTTATTAGGGCCCAAGCCCTGAAAGGGCGAAGGCCCTATTGTTTTCCTTCCGATTATTTTTTTAGGGCCCAAGCCCTGAAAGGGCGAAGGCCCTATTGTTTTCCTTAGGATTATTATTATTATTAGGGCCCAAGCCCTGAAAGGGCGAAGGCCCTATTGTTTTCCTTGGGATTAAAGGGCCCAAGCCCTGAAAGGGCGAAGGCCCTATTGTTTTCCTTGGGATTATTAGGGCCCAAGCCCTGAAAGGGCGAAGGCCCTATTGTTTTCCTTGGGATTATTAGGGTCCAAGCCCTGAAAGGGTGAAGGCCCTATTATTTTCCTTGGGATTATTAGGGTCCAAGCCCTGAAAGGGCGAAGGCCCTATTGTTTTCCTTGGGATTATTTTTTTCTATTATTTTTCTTACGACTATTCGGGCACTTTTGGGGCCCTTAACATGCTCGAAAACTCGTGAAATTTTGCACATATGTCAGAACCCGCGGCCATCAGGGTCGGGCTTAAGATGGTACCCGGGCGTGGCAGGGGGGCTCGACAGTGCCCCCTGGAACAGGGTCTGAACACTTAAAATGTACAGGAACAGGGTCTCAACCATAAATCAAACACGCTTCAAAGTCAAAGTCAAAGTTTATTTATAAAGCACTTTTAAAAACAACAAGTGTTTGACAAAGTGCTGTACACTTGTATCCTATTTCACAACTACAAACCGTCAACGACACAAAACAAAAATAAAAAGCCAAAAACAAATAATCGACAATACAAACACTCACCTAGCTTCAAAAGCCAAACAGTGGTAATAGGTTTTAAGACTAGATTTAAAAGCAGCAAGAGTTTGAGCCTGTCTGATATACAGGGGCAGATTGTTCCAGAGCTTTGGTCCTGTTACTGCAAATGCTCTTTCGCCTCTGCTTTTCAACTTCACCCGAGGGACAACTAAGAGCAAATGGTCAGCAGACCTAAGCGCTCTTGATGGAGCATACAGCGTAATCATGTCTGACAGATACTTCGGTGCAAGACCATTAAGAGATTTGAAAACAAACATCAAAATTTTAAAATTAATCCTAAAATGGACAGGCAACCAATGAAGAGAGGAGAGAACAGGAGTAATGTGTTCACGCTTCCGTGTACCCGTCAACAGGCGAGCTGCTGCATTTTGGACCCTCTGCAGTCTGGAGAGAGAGGCCTGGCTAATGCCAACATAGAGGCCATTACAATAGTCCAGACGCGATGAAATAAAAATATGAAGGAGTCTTTGGAAGTCTATATAAGACAGGAAAGATTTGACCTTGGTGAGTTGTCTCAACTGGAAAAAACTTGACTTAACTACTTGGTTAATCTGTTTATCCATCTTAAAATCCCAGTCCAAAATAACACCTAAATTATTTACATATGGCTTCACTAGTGGATTCAATTCCCCAAGATCCAACTGTAAGGATTCACAAGTGCCACCTGGCGTGAACAACATGACTTCTGTTTTACTTTTATTAAAGCTTAGGAAATTTAGTGCCATCCAGTGCTTAATTTCCTCAAGACACTGTAATAAAGGAGCTAACGAAGAAGTGTCTCCTCTTTTCAAAGGCATATAAATTTGCGTATCATCCGCATAACAATGAAAAGAGATACCAAACTTCCTAAAAATCTGTCCGAGAGGGAGCAAATATAAGGCAAATAAAATAGGCCCTAAAATGGAACCCTGAGGGACCCCACACGTAACAGAAGCCGTTGCGGAGGCAAATTCTCCAAGGCGAACTGAAATAGTTCTTTCAGACAGATATGATTTAAACCATGTCAATGCAGTACCCTCAATACCAACACTTTTCTCTAAGCGTGTAACCAAGATCTTATGGTCTATGGTATCAAATGCCGCGGAGAGATCTAATAAGATTAGTATCGCACAGTTCCCTGAGTCATTAGCAAGTAACAAATCGTTAGATACTTTCAACAGTGCAGTTTCAGTACTATGCTTGGACTTAAAACCAGATTGAAACACTTCATGGATGCCATGTAGATCCAGGAAAGCATTCAATTGTCCAAGTACAACCTTCTCCAGTAATTTAGACAGAAACGGAAGTTTCGAGATAGGTCTAAAATTAGCAAAAACTGTGGGATCCAGGTTAGATCTCTTAATTACTGGTTCCACTGATGCATGTTTAAAAGACTTGGGTACAACTCCCGAGGCCAAGCTGCTATTAATAATTGTAAGTATAATAGGACCAATAGCATCGAACGAGTCTTTTAAAAGACGTGGAGGAACAATGTCCAAACAACAAGAAGACAATTTCATTTCGCCAAAGATCTCCCTCAGTGAGACAAGAGACACCGGCACAAACTGTTCGAAAACAGCAGAGCACTCAGAGGAAACAGATAAAAAAGACAGAGGGGGGGATATATTAGATCTAATAGCTTCGATCTTATCAATAAAAAAGTGCAAGAAATGTTCACATAATTCGACAGAAGGCTCTAAACGAGTAGCTTGGGGAGCGTTCAAAATAGCGTTAATAGTACTGAACAGCACCGCTGGCTTATGGGAATTGTTACCGATAACGTTGGAGAGATACTTAGATTTCTCTGATCTAACAGTTTTTTGATATTTAGACAAATTGTACTGTAAAACATCAAATGAGATCTGTAATTTATCCTTCTTCCAGCGGCGTTCAGCCCTTCTGCATTCCAGCCGTATAGCTCGAGTAGTAGCGTTCAGCCACGGTTGAACTCTAATTTTTTCACGAGTCGTCCTGATAGGGGCAACTGCATCCAAAATATTTTGACAGGTTAAGAAAAACGATGAAGTTAGATCTTCAGTATTAAACCCGCATAGGGGCAGTGAATAATCTACTTCATTCGCATTGAAGGCTTCAGAAAATAATTGAGCCGTTGAGGGGTTAATCGCCCGACAGCGACGTTGTGGAATAGTCCGTTTGGAATCACGAGAAATACATATCTCGAATAAAACAGGCAAATGATCAGAAAACGTAGCATCACTGACATCAATGTTACTGATAGGTAAGCCTTATGTCAGAACCAAATCTAAAATGTGTCCACCTATATGTGTGGGACTTGCAACAAACTGGGTTAAGTTAAAAGACTCCATAAGATTTAAAAAAGCTTTGGCCAAAGGCCTGGCGGGACAACAAACATGGATATTAAAATCCCCCACAATTAAAACCCGGTCATATTTCGTCATGATTCCGGCTAAGAAATCCGAAAAATCATCGATAAAGTCCTTATTATGTTTAGGTGGACGATAAACAACCGTGCACAACACAGGGTAACTCAGGCTTAATTCAAAAACACTAAGTTCAAAACTGGAGTAGGAGGGCGATGGCAGACGCCTACAGTTTAAATGTTCTTTAAAAATAGTTGCTACTCCGCCTCCTCGTCCCGTGAGTCTTGGAGAGTTAAAATAGGTACAGTTCAGAGGTAAAACTTCAGAAAAGACACTTGACTCACCAACACCAATCCAGGTCTCAGTCACACACAACATGTCCAAGTCCTTGGATGTAAAAAAGTCATTCAAAATGAAGGATTTGTTAGCTAGTGATCTGGCATTCACCAAGGCTAACCTCACTTGCGTCGAGTCTTTCAGTGACGGAGATTCACAGGCCAGAGACCGATGGAGAGTTGAGTCCACACCTCTTTTAGAATGGAATGCCCGATAGATTCTAGCAGGAGGCTCATAATCCCCATCATCCACATCAGTCGCAGGTACCAGCCACCTATACGTGAGATCCCCAGACCGCCGAAGCTCGTACCGCCGACAGTCCACGCCAAGATCTCCAAAAATCCAGCGAGGATCGGCATTCGGGAACAAGGTCGTTAAAGTTTTTATTTTTACTAACAGACCACCTCGTTTGCCACGGCGTCTGGACCGCTTCCTCTTCCTGAGAAAGCATGGGGTTCGGCGGAGATAGGCAGGTAATCCACATAGGCGCGGAGGGGGGGGGTGAACTGTTTCTTCCACCTGGGTTCACGCTATAGATCGGTGTATTATCCAAAGCCGATCTAATGCTAAGAAGCGTTTGGCGATCGTACACTAGTAGAGAATTTGTAGTATTTAAAATAGACAATAAAAACAAGACAAACATCCATACAACCGGGAGCAGGAGACGGCTAGCCACACACACCGGCGCCATCTTCCCCCTTGCATGTAATAATATGAAACTCGGTACACATGTAGATCTCATTGTTTCATATATACCTCACACTCTTACTTTTTACCCCAGCCCAACAGGAAGTCAGATATTTACGATTGTTTCTAAAACACATGCAATGGAATTTAATATACTCCTCCTAGAGCATTCATCCACATGGAACGAAACTCGGTCAGCTTGAAGTCAAGACATTGAGGATGAAAAATTGCGAGGGGATTTTTTGATATCTCGAACGGTTTGGCCGTGGCGAGGAAACGAAATTATGGTGAGAAACGTGAAACGGGAAGTGTGTTATAACTTCAGCATACATCAACTGATCTTGATGAAACTTTAGCAGTTTGTTCGCTGTAAGAGGATGATCACATGCATGTGACTATTGTGAGTCAAAGTTATAGCGCCACCAACTGGCAGCAGGAAGTGTGTCACTTTCAAAATGCTTTGAAATCACCCTCTTAATTTAACCCGATTTGCTTCAAACTTCATCTGTATAATGTAAACATACGGCAGATGTAGACCTGTGAATGGATTCTTGATATCTTTGAAACTGTTGCCATGACAACGCATCAAACTTTACCATTCTTTTAGGATGCTTTCGAGACCCTTAGCATGCTTCAAATCGCATGAAACTCGATAGACACATCACATTTATTAGCCAGTAGACATGTGCAAAGTTTCAGAAACGGGCTCAGTAGCGCCACCTTTTGACAAAAGTGGGGTTGTTAGTTTTATCTACAGTTTCAAAAATCGGTATGTATATTGTACTCCTCGAGCCGGACAACTTTCTAATTGACACTCTTTAGCTAGGACCTCGCTCTGAGCCTACGTCTCTGTCTCTGTCTTTGCCTGTCTGTGTGTGTGTGTGTGTGTGTGTGTGTGTTTGTGTGTGTGTTTGTAGGGGGAGGGGGCTTAACCATTTCACTGCTGTTTGTCTGGCCTGCAGAAAAAGAAAATATATTTCTTAAGCCTGGTATGTTTTAAATAAGTTTTTATTTTAATTTTTTATAAGTAAAGGCATAATATAACCAGTTTAATTGTAGTACATTGACAATAGTTTTATATAATTAGTTTATTAATTAAATTAACTTGGTCCATAAACTTGATCTGAAAATTTGGTCCATAAATCAAACACACTTGCATGTAATAATATGAAACTCGGTACACTTATAGATCACATCAGGCCAAACAACTTTCGTGCTCTAAGTTTTAGGACAGTTCAAATGGAAGTCGGGAATTATGGGTTGTTTGAATAAATCTCCTAGGAGAAATACATCAAATTACAACCCATGCTGTTACCAATCACCACCAAACTCGGCGTGCATGAACTCAAGACATTGAGGATGCTCAATTCTGGACGGATTTTTGATATCTCAAACGGTTTGGCCATGGCGAGGAAATGAATTTTATGACTAAAAAAGGACACATAAAATGTGTTATAACTTTGCTCGTTTTACCTACAGTTACAAAACTTGCCACGTATATTGTTCTTGTCAAGCCGATCAACTTTCTAATTAACAGTAAGAAGCTCAGACAAAAAGAAAGTCAGATATTGCAGTTTGGATGTGTATCTTGTCTCTATCAGTGTCTGTGTGGGGAGGAGGGGGGTTGCTGGTGTCTGTGTTTGTTTGTGTGTGTGTGGCTGACTGTAGATTTGTCCTGCAAGTCCTTGTCTTTTTGCATAACAATTTTGTACTTTTTTTTTAAATGACAAAATATGCATATAACCCTAATCTTTTAAATGTATAGTTTGCTTTAAATTAAAGTAAGATAAATTGGTAAACTACAAATTCGTAATTAAAGCTGAATGAATTTAAAATTCATGTGCTATATTTCAATATATTTGCTTTCCTTAATATTGTAAAACACTAACCTCATTCTCATCTGAATTGCAAATGTTTTTTTTTCTATATAAAATAATACTCTGATTAAAAAAGAAACATCAAACGTATTTTAGTCAATGCAGAATGTGTAACTTAAAAATAAACAGATTAGTGCTGAGTTTTGGTGAGTTTTTGAGCATGTTGCGGCCTCGAAAATGGCGCTTACTTTGCAGAAAAAAAGAAGAAAAAAAAAAGAAGACAATCCTGTGTGGGGAGTGGGCAGGGGGATTTCTCTGTTGGGTGAGATTTATTTAAAATTTTTGTTTTTCAAGGTAGCATTCTAATCAGGTAAAGCAAGTAATATTCTCTGTCTTTATATATATGCGTGTGTGTGAGTGTGTGTGTGTGTGTGTGTGTTTGTATGTATATATATTTTGAAAAGCCCTCACTGACACAAGCTCTTCAGCACACTTCTCTTCAACAGTCAAAGCGGGGGTTAAGTTTTTGCACGTCGTGCAGAATAACCCTCTTTATATATACATATATATATATATATATATATATATATATATAAAAGCGGGGGTTAAGTTTTTGCACGTCGTGCAGAATAACACTAAAGGCACCATATATATATACTTAAATATAGCGATGAAGGGCCAAAGCTGGCGGTACCGCCATCGCTGCTCGCAGCTATATTTAGGGCCCAAGCCCTGAAAGGGCGAAGGCCCTATTGTTTTCCTTAGGATTATTATTAGGGCCCAAGCCCTGAAAGGGCGAAGGCCCTATTGTTTTCCTTAGGATTATTAGGGCCCAAGCCCTGAAAGGGCGATGGCCCTATTGTTTTCCTTCCGATTATTTTTAGGGCCCAAGCCCTGAAAGGGCGAAGGCCCTATTGTTTTCCTTAGGATTATTATTATTATTATTATTTATACGACTATTCGGGCACTTTTGGGGCCCTTAACATGCTCAAAAACTCTTGAAACTTTGCACACAGGTCAGAACCCGCGGCCATCAGGGCCGGGCTGAAGATGGTACCCAGGCGTGGCAGGGGGGCTAGACAGCGCCCCCTGGAACGGGGTCCGAAAACTTGGTCCATAAATCAAACACGCTTGCATGTAATAATATGAAACTCGGTGCACATATAGATCTCATCGTTCATATATACCTCATACTATTACTTTTTACCCCAGCCCAACAGGAAGTCGGCTATTTAGGGTTGTTTGTAAAAAACATGCAATGGAATAATTTAAAGTACTTCTCTTGAGCCGGAGCTGTCCGTGGATCCCGATTGGAATATAAAAGAAAGCTGTAAAGAGTGGGAAGAGTGCGACGTCGAAGGAAGCTGTGAATCAGCGGGGAAGAGTTTATTCTGTTGTGACTGAGTATTGTGAAGTGCGCTGAGGCGCCGTGAAAAGAGTATTATTTGTGTATTCAATAAAGCACACGAGCTCCAGTATTCGCCGACCCCTTGTCTTCTTCCATCACCCTCCTTGAACCGTACTACACATCGTTTCTAAATATGATGTACAGGTCAGGTATAAAGAATATTTTTGCTCAGGTGGTGAAAAAATTGAAAAAAATTAGAGGGAACATTGAACTGTGTTCACGATTATAGGCCCTGTCCCAAATGGCACACTTCATATGAATTTTCAGTGTTGTGTACTTATGTAATGCGTCCGTTAAATCCATGACTGTCTGTAGGGTGTCTCATTTTTCATTTTAGTTTTCAGAAGGTTGCTCACGCATACATTTTGGTTGATATGTGCCCTCGATGCGCACTTTTGCAGAGCCCACACTGTTGCAAGCTCTACGGCACACTTCTTTTCGACAGTCAAAGCAGTGTTACGTTTGTGCACAATAACCCTAAAGGTACCAGGGTGGCGGTGCCACCGGCTGTATATATATATATATATAAATATAGCTGCGAGCAGCGATGAAGGGCCAAAGGCGGCGGTACCGCCACCGGCTTGGGCCCGCAATCCCTGCTCGCAGCTATATTTAGGGCCCAAGCCCTGAAAGGGCGAAGGCCCTATTGTTTTCCTTAGGATCATTAGGGCCCAAGCCCTGAAAGGGCGAAGGCCCTATTGTTTTCCTTCCGATTATTAGGGCCCAAGCCCTGAAAGGGCGAAGGCCCTATTGTTTTCCTTGGGATTATTTATTAGGGCCCAAGCCCTGAAAGGGCGAAGGCCCTATTGTTTTCCTTGGGATTATTTTTCTTTACTATTATTATTATTAGGGCCCAAGCCCTGAAAGGGCGAAGGCCCTATTGTTTTCCTAAGGATTATTTATTATTAGGGCCCAAGCCCTGAAAGGGCGAAGGCCCTATTGTTTTCCTAAGGATTATTTATTATTAGGGCCCAAGCCCTGAAGGGGCGAAGGCCCTATTGTTTTCCTTGGGATTATTTATTATTCTTCTTCTTCTTTTTATTTTTCTGCTACCTTTTGGGCATTTTTGGGGCCCTTAACATGCTCGAAAACTCTTGAAACTTTGCACACGGGTCAGAACCCGCGGCCATCAGAGCCGGGCTGAAGATGGTACCCGGGCGTGGCAGGGCGGCTCGTCAGCGCCCCCTGGAACGGGGTCCGAACACTTGGTCCATAACTCAAACACGCTTGTATGTAATAATATGAAACTCGGTACACATGTTGATCTCATCGTTTCATCTATACCTCGCGCTCTTTTATTTTTACCCCAGCTCAACAGGAAGTCGGCTATTGAGGTTTGTTTGTAAAACGCTCGCAATGGAATGTCAAATACTCCTCCTAGAGCTTTGATCCAAATTCGACTAAAACTCAGTCAGCGTGAAGTCAAGACATTGAGGATGAAAGTTTGCGAGGGGATTT